ACCCTATACTTAGCGCATAAGAGCTAACCAAATTAGTAAAATTTTCCTTCCTTTCCAGGATAGCACGATTAGCATAACAACCAATTACAAGGACTATCACTATTAAAATGAAGATCACCTGATATCGTTAACTATATAGTGTGATCTGTATATGGTGTCAACTAGATTAGGTTGATATGCGGCAACTTTTTTTTTTTTTTTAAAAAAAAAATAGTAACGCATTTTATCAATTATTTAAATTTGATACAAATTATATAATTAATTGGTAAAATACTTAGAGCTTCAAAAATTATAAAATAATTAATAAAACCCTATAACTAAGTAAAATCTAATACTAATTCTATCTTATATTTATCCTAGTTTAATCTATATAATCAGCTATTTTAACTGTCGTATCCCATATATTATCTATATTAATTCCGTCTACTATTTTACCTGTTAGCTTCGTAAGCGTTGCTAATTTAATATTTGTTTCTAATATATTTTTATTTTCTTCTATTTTTTCTTCTGTTTTTTTCTTTTTTTTATTTATTTTTTCTCCGTCCTCGTCCAGTTTTTCTTCCTGATCATTTTTCCGTTTTCTTAGATCGGCCTTTTTAATATTCTCTATTTCTTCTAATCTTTTAACTTCGTTGCATCTTGGAATCCAAATACGATTTTTGATCTCGTTATATGTAAATCTCCATAGTTCTTTTATTAACATTATCTCTTCTTTCTTCTTAGATAAATTATTAAACTGATTATTTTATATACCTCTAATCAATTCCCAAATTCTGCTTTTGCCTCTTAAAACTACTGAAGGACTTTCCAATACATTTAAGAAATCAAAACTGAAATTTCTCAATATTTCTATATTTTCTTCTTGATTGGAATTTTTTAATTGTTGCTCGAACAGATTTAACGAATCATATATAATTTCATTTAGAGTTGATTCGTTGTCATTACAGATCCATATGTGTTCCCAACTTTCGATTTCGTTTTCCTTGCACCTAATGCATTTGTTATCCTCGATTTTGTTTGTATTTCTTTGATATAGCGCTTCGTAAGTTGGTTGTTCTTTTAAAAGATTCTTGATTCTATAGAATCTTTCATATGTATCTTTGTCACCACATTGTCTTTTTGAAAATTCTGTTCTATTACTTATGAATTCTAATGTGTTTTTCCAATCAAATTCTTTCTTAAAATTATACATGAATAAATCATCTAATCTGTTACTATTTAACATCTCGTTCTTCCATATTGCATTTGTTACTTTTTTCCTCCAACCTCTAGTATATCCTCCAGTAATCAGTCTTTGATTCCAATATAGGTTGAATTCATTGACTAATAAGGCTTCGTTATTTATCTCAAAGTTATATTTTATCGTATTGATTTCTTCATTTAAAATTTCCCTCGCTATAACTCTCAATTTCTTTAATAATCTATAATCGTATTCGTTCATCTCTGCAATTTTCATTTCATTATCTTCTAAAAAATTTTCAATAAATAGTAATTCCAAATAATAATCACTATCTATTTTCCTTCTGTTACTAAAATTGTTTTTAAAATCAAAAATTAATTTTTGTACGTTCTCATTGATTCCCAATACTATCTCGCTATCATTTTCTATTATTAATAAACCTATAATTAAACTCCTTAGTATTATCTTAAATTCGTTTTCGTTGTTACCATCGTGTTTTGCTAATAAAGTTATTTCCGAATTTTCTTCAATTATATTATTTTTCTCTTCTAAAATTTTCCACATGATTTTAAAACCATAAATCTTTTTGCCTCTCTCGTCTACTTTCGGTTTAATTTTTTTCGTATCTATAATTAAAAAAAATTTTTGATTTTTCGTTAGTTTCTTGAATGTCTTTTTCATAAATACTGTTCTTTATAATGTTTATAAACTCCGTCTCTGATTGAATTAAATTATCTATTTTTTCTATTTTTTTATTGTAGTTTTCATCTCTATTTTCTGTTTCTAGTACTTTTTTGACGCAACTATTTTTAATAATTATGTTGTTTAGAGTTTCGTACGGTTTTACTGTATATAATTTTCTTCTTTTCTTTTTTCTATTATTCTGCTAATCTCATTTTCTATATATATCAGACATTCTTTATTTCCTTTATTCTTTTTACCAATATTTCTATCACATCCTTTGCATTTTTTTAGAAAAGGAGAATTATTTATATCTATCTTGTCATTGACGAGTTCTAAATGTAAGCCTATTCTCTTGCATTTTTTACTTTGAGATTTTTTCTTATCCTCGCAAAAAATTGGAAAATCTCCTTCTACGTTCCATGTGATAATCTGATTTTTCCCTTTTTTCTCGTTCTCATCAAAAAGATTGATATGAATGTTACTTTTTGTGACTTGTCCTATATATTCCTTTTTTATTTTTCTAATTATATTATTTCCATCTTCTAAAATTTTATTTTCTATATCTTTAAACCATTTTGGAGTCTTCCCTTTCGTGTTTAATCCTTTCTCCTTGCATAAGTGTTTCCATTTTAACATATTTATACCATCCGCTTCGAGAAGGTCTTCTAAGAACATAATGTCTTTGTTTCTTCTTGAAATAGCGCTGTTTTTTATGAATTTTTTCCCCAAAATTTCTACTATGTCTATTCTTCCTCCTTTTATTCTGTGATCTTCATTTATATTTTTAATTTCGTGGTTGCATAAGGTTATATTCACTTCATTTAAAGCTTTAATTGCAGCTAATATCCAATTGTGATGACATTTACTCTCAATTTTCATTTCACCAGGACATTTCGATGTCCATATATTTTTTTGTTCTTGCGAAATTTTAATTAAAAATAAAGTTTTTAGTTTTTCATTGCCGTTTGCTTGATATAATAAATTTTTGCATAGTATTTCTATTTGCAAATCATATATATGTTTAACTCCCATAATCTCTTTCTCGTATAATATAAAATTTGGTGTCGATTTCGCAAGTTTCGCTCTTCTTTTAATTATACTGCTTAATTTTGTCATCAAATTTTCACACTCTCTTTTCGTTAAAACGATAGCTGCTAGTTGATATTCTATTCTGGGCACTATTACCATGTTCCAAACGGCAGTAATTTGTTTTCATTTAACCTTTTCCAATTGAATATTTTACATGCGCTATTTACTATCGACATTATTTTATCTTTATAAATTCTTTTCTTATTGTCGTGTCTGAAGAATATTCCAAGATATCTATTGCCTTCTCATTATTGACTTTACTTATTTTTTCTCCTTCAATGATTAAATCTTCTTTCTCTTTATCATTTATTTTGATTAGCTCATACTTCGATATGTTCGCTTTAATGTCATTTATTTTAAAAAATTGATGACATATTTCTATCATTTTTGTCAATTGTATTTTATTTTTGCTAATCAATGTCGTGTCATCCATAAATGCCATTGCGTTAATTGATATTTCTAATACTCTTGTTTCTCCTTTTTCTCTATTTATTAATTTTTCTTCATAAAAATTATATCCTGTTTCTTCTTTCGTTTCGTTTAGTCTTGTTAATAGGGCGTCATAGAAGATTCTCCACAAAATCGGTGACCACACTTCACCTTGGTCTATTCCATCTTCTATGTAGTATTCATCCATTAATTCGTTATTGACTAAGACTCTATTGTATCTATTTTTGTTTACGTCCATTACAAGGTTAATAAAATTTTTTGGTAACTTGATCCTTTCCATACATTTCTTTAACATAACTGAGCTGACTGAATCGTATGCTTTGGATATGTCCATCAACAAAATCCAAGCTTCTTTTTTATATTTATTGGCATCTTCTATCACTGCTTGCACTATTTTTAGAGGTTCTAAAGTACTTTCATTTCTCAGTGCAGCATAGTTAGTGTTTGTAAGGACTTGCTCTTTCGTTAATATCTCACTTAGTCTGTTCACCAATATTTTAAACCATATTTTCCTTGCTGTTTCTAAAAGTACTATGGGACTTGTCAATTTCAAATCGTAATTCCAATGAGATCTCGTTGTTTTATTTATCGGATAAATGATCCCTTTTCTCCATTTATCTGTTGCATTTTCTCTACTAAGACTTTCATTGAAGGTATGCGGCAACTTTATCGCCGCTAATTTTTTCATATTTATTTATTAAAAAATTTCATATTTAAAATTTTTTTTTTATCTATTTTTGAAAAAAATTTCATATCTTTAGATTCCTGAATTATTTATTTTTATAAAAAAAAAAATGTTTTAGCAAAAACATATAAAAGAGGCTCATTTACTCTTTCATTGCTCATTTATTCAATTATTGAATTCATATTTTAAAAACATACAATAAAAATGATTCATTTACTCATTTTATTTTATTTATTTGTAATTCATTTTAGTTCAAACAACAAAATAACTAAATATGATCACAAGTATTACAATCAAAAGCAAAATACATATCATTTATATTTTCTTTTTTTTTTTATTTGATTGTCTTCTGAGTACGTTTCCCCTTATTTTTACTTTAGTTTCTAGTACCCTTTGTTCGCTCACTGCTATGGCAACTAAGTCTCCATTAATCAGTTCCTCTAACGAAGGGTGGGTCCACCGGTTGGATATTGTATGTCTAGTTTAGTTGTGTACTTTGTAGTGCTTTTATACTGTTGCAAGTCTGTAATTAAACGATGTATTCACCTCTTCTAAGTAAAAATAAAATAAAAAATAAAATAAACACAAAATTTAAAAATACTTTCAGCTAAAATGAATGCATCATTACCCGAAACTGTAAGTCCTAATAATTCAATATTGCCATCATTACTCGAGGATAGTGAGACTGAAAGTCCTGATTATGCACTATCACTTAGTGATATTGAGAGCATACTGGGATGAAGAAATTCAAGAAGTAAAAGGTGTACCACATCAAGTAATCGTTTGTAAAGTTATTGATACTGCTAATCAGACCCCATGTAGAAAACATATATTAAGTCTTAGTGGATCCACTGGTAATGCAATAAATCATTTAAGAAATTAGCATGATATTAAAATCGAAAAGGTTGGTTGAATATCTCGTATTGCAAAGTTAAAAATACTTTTAGTTAGTTCAAATATTAATTACTACTAAAAATATAGCCAAACGATCAAGAAAAGCAAGATATGAAGGTGCATAAGAATCATTATTCGGAGAAAAATTAATAAGAATTTCGACAATGTCTTGTTGATTGGATAATTAATGATTTCCAACAACTTGATCATTATTCTTCTGATAAAGATTTACCTAAATCTATTGTTGATCGACTTGACAAAAAAATTTTAAAAGCTTTGGTTATGGCTGGTATCCCATTTAGTGTAATTGAAATTCCATTTATTTTGAATCTGTTCAAAGATCTAAGATCTGGGTATTCACCACCGTCACGGACTACCGTCTCATCTTACGTTAGTTAAATGTAATTTAAACATTATAAAATAGCTAAATTTATTGAAATTTAATGTTAATTTTTAACTTAATTTCTTAATAGCCCTAGACAGTTGGTCCACTCCTCAAATGACAATTATATTGTTACAACTGATACTAGAATGGAATACTTAATATCCCTACGTCATTATTCATCAGATTCACACACAAGTGAATTTTTAACACACGAAATTCCTAGTATTATTAAGCAGCTTGGCAGTGATAAGTTTGCTGCAATTGTTACTGACAATGCTTCTAATTGTCGGATTGCAAGGCAAAATATTCAGCTAACATATGGGATGTACGCTGTGCAGCCCATAAAACCAACTAATTGCATAACTATGAAACTAGTATATAGAACGCGTCTAAGCCTTTCGGACATAGGGCGTTGTCACCTTGGTGGAAAAAAAAGGGAGAAAAAGCACGAACCCACCAATCAGACAGTTTCTATCGAACTAATATTAAAGAAAAATGAACAGTGATAAAAAAATAAAATTATAGGATTAAATTACATATATAAGAAATGTTATAATACGAATCTAGATTAAACGGTAGTAAAAAAGATGAAATATGTCTATAATTACACAATACATAATGCATCATAATAATTATCAACTGTATTATTTATAAAATGTAACCGTTGTTTTGATGATAGATAAAATAATTTTAACTACAAAGGCAGTTGTTTCAGTTATAAAAGATCAAAAATAAGAAATAATTATATTATTTATGATGTATTGTTACACAATATTATATTTAACACGCAATTTTCATAATGAAGTAATCAATGATAATGATATTTTATTGTAATAAATATGGTCAAACCTCGATATATCGATATTCGATATACCGATATATATTAATATAACTGATAACGATAAATTTCACTATTCCACTACATGAGAGAATATAAAAATTTGATATTACGACATTTTTTAACGTTGATTAAATTACAATGTAACATCTAGTCATTTTTTATAAATAGTAATTATATTATTAGATAGATATTTTTGTTATATGTATTTGTAGGTGCAAATCGCTGCGAAAGTACGTTTATATTTTCATGGTAGTGTTTAATAAAAATTTTTTTTTTTTTGAAAAAAAAAAAATTATTTAAAGAATCTTATAATAAAATTTCGTAATAACATTATTAGATCATATGACTTTAATAATTTTGAAAATATTTCGTATAATTGGGTAAAAACTTCCCTTAAAAATAATGATAAAGATCCTGAAAGAATTCTCAAAATAATGAAAAAGCATAAAGAAAATAAATTTTGGTTTACTAGTTTAGTAGGATATTTTTATCAATTTGGAATTGGTTGTAATCTTAATAGAGAAAAGGCGTTGGATTGTTATTTAATTGCTATTAATAATAATATTGATTATAATTCTTTAAATATAATAGATGAGAATCAATTACATTTGATTGTAGTAAAAAATAATGGGGAATTCAATTTGTTAAGAAATAGTAACACAATTATTGGAAAATATTTATTATCATTATTTTATTATAAAGATATTATTAATAATATTTTATTTGATATTGATATTAAACAAAATAAATTAGTGTTTCTTGAAAAATTAAAAGGAAATAGTGAATTAGAAGTACAATTTAATTTAACAATTTGTAGAAAAGATAGAAATGTTAATTATAAAAAAGCTTTTGAATTACTTTTAAGTTTAGCTGAAGAAGAAAATCTAGATGCACAATATAATTTGGCAATTTGTTATATGGATGGAATAGGAACACAAAAAGATGAAAAAAAAGCATTTGACTTGTTTTTAAAATCTATTCAACAAAATAAATCTCATGTTCATATAAATAATACGATGAAAATTTATAATGAAAGGATTAAATTTGAAATGGGTTTAGAATCTGCGATATCAAATAATTCAATAACACAAAATAGTGTAGGATTTTGTTTTCAATCTGGTAAAGGAGGATTAAAAATAAATGTAACAAGGGGATTTAAATGGTATTTAAAATCAGCTATTGCAGGATATGCTGAGGGTCAATTTAATTTAGGGTGTTGTTATGAATATGGTAACGGAACGGATAAGAATGAAATTAAAGCATTTGAATGGTATTTAAAATCAGCTAAAAATGGATGTGTAAAGGCTCAAATTCATTTGGCAATTTGTTATCAAAGTGGTCGTAAAATGGACAAGAATGAAACAAAAGCATTTGAATGGTATTTAAAATCAGCAGAAAATGGAAATGTAAAGAGTCAAAGTTACATGGGATATTGTTATCTAAAAGGTTATGGAATAGATAAGAATGAAACAAAAGCATTTGAATGGTATTTAAAATCAGCTGAAAATGGGGATGCGATGAGTCAAAATAATGTGGGATATTGCTATGACCATGGGATAGGAACAGATAAGGATGATTCAAAAGCATTTGAATGGTATACAAAATCAGCTACTCGAGGATGTACTGATGGACAATATAATTTAGGATATTGTTATGAAAATGGTAAAGGAACGGATAAGAATGAAAAAAAAGCATTTAAATGGTACACAAAAGCGGCTGCTGCAAAGGGTGATGCTGCAGCACAAAATAAGTTAGGAGATTGTTACAAATATGGTAAAGGAACGAATAAGGATGAGGAAAAAGCATTTGAGTGGTATTTAAAATCGGCTGAAAAAGGGTATAAAATGGGACAAAATAATGTGGGATATTGTTATGAACATGGTTGTGGAACAGGAAAAAACAAGAATAATGCAACTAAATGGTTCTCAAAAGCAGCCAAAAGTGCTGTAGCACAAAATAATTCAAAAAAATGCAAATATGGTGTTAAAATCGCTATAAAGGATTTATTGTAGCCTTTGGCCAAAATTTCAAACTGGTATTTTAAATAAATTATTTGAATTATTCAAAATATATTAATAGATTTTGCGTAATTTCTTTACAACCTCTTTGTATACTAATAATATCCAAGCAATGATTTATTTGGCCTAATAAACAATATTACCAATTATAACTTAATAAATTATGTTTATACAGTATATCAGTATTTATCTAGTATTTTACTGAACTGATTTATTTACTTAGTAGTAGTAAAGAATTTACGTAGATAGAAAGAATTTGTCAATTAGTAATCATTTTTATTTCTGTTATTAGTTTGTATTTAAGAAGGAAATGAACTTTTAGTTAATTATTTCATTAAATTATCTGGATGAACCTTTTTTTTTTAGCAAAAAATACACATCTGATGAAAAAGCTGCGTCCCATCAGAATTTTAAATTTATTTATTTATTATTTATTTTTTAATGTATAAATATAAAAATAAAATATCTTATTACGTAAATGATCATTAGCATCAGTGAAATGATTTTGTCATTTTGAAAAGCAAGGTATTTAACTCTTTTCATTTTCATGAAATAATCCATGTACGACAATTTATTTTAAAAAATATTATCACGAGATTATTAAAAAAATGTAGTCATAAAATAAATAAATAAAGAACGGTATGAAAAGAAATTAATATTTTAAATAAATCATTTTTTCTTAAATTTTCTTTTACGAACAATTTTTATCATTTTTTTACAATAAAAAACCAACTTTTAATTATATTATATCATATTTTTCAACATTATATTTTTGATATTAATCTATCGTCTCAACCACAATTAAATTATTATGATTCTGAAAATATGCTAAAACAGAGCTACACTTAATTACCGGACTATATCTGGGTAAGTTGGCTTCATGACATGATTTTTAAAAAGGATTTACCTCGTAACCTAAATGTTCTATAGTGCTACTCTATTTCTTATTCTGCTATGAAAGCGCATATCTCGTATAACAACTAGCGATGAATAACTTGCATCATCAAGAATAAGAATTCGAATGGTATAATCGAGGAGTTCGACGATTATACGCCAACTAGCTATTGACAACAAATGAATCCCAGATAATAGTGTTAACATTGTTATTTGATCTTTAGATTTCGATGTGTCATCAACAATTAATGTACCAAATCCAAACTCCGTAAGTATACCAAAAACACGTACCTATTTGTGATATTGATTGCAATCGAACACTATAAAGCGTTAACTCTTTTTTCCAAAAGTCCAAGGCCACATGTGAAAAAAATAGAACGTCCTCTTTCTTATGACATAAAAATTCCCAATCTTTTAATGACCAATTTCCCCATTAATTAACAATCGTCATATCCCCCTTTTATTATGTTGTAAGTTCTATTGGCACACTTAAAGGAAATATATTCGAACATCTGCTCATAGAGTGAGTTACATAACTTTTTTGCTATAATATGTCCCGAAATCAACCGGACTGTTCTTCAGAAAAGAGAATGCCAAAAAAAATATAAAAAATTTCGTCCTACGTGATACATGCGCAATTGCGCAGCTATAATATTGCATACCACACTGGTTACACATATGTTCACCTCGACTATATTGTAGTTGTCGTGTGACTCGCGTCGCGTAATAACAAAAGTGATTATGTCTGTACCCGCTCTTACGATTTTATAATAATAGGACTGGACGTCTGGACGTGCGCAAAAATAGTAGAGTATTATCGTGAGAAAACGAAAGAGTTAAATTACGTTCTTGATAAGGTGATCGAGAAATAACTTCAGATTACAGATTCAGCGTCATGCACAAAAGAAAGGCTCAAGAAATCCTTGAACGTTGGAAGGTATATTTCTATAAAGTAATTCGAGTAAAACCTAGTTATTAGTTCTTACTTTCTGAGCGCAAGCTGGGACTGTTAGTGGCCAGTGATGAACTGCTTGTTCGACGCTCATATACTTTTGCAAGTTTGATAAATTTTGTCTGCTAATATTATTACTTATACCCTTTTTTTCAAGTATTGAACCGCAAGTAACAATACGGAAAATCATGATACAGGCTTCAAGTTCGAATTTCATTCAGGTGAGATTCTAGTCTGAAAATTTCATAAGGTAAAAAAACATGAATAACGTTTTTTTTTTCGATTAGGTACAACAGGTGGTGCTCGTGATCGGTAATTCCGTATCAATCGATAATATCGATAATCGCCGGTTGACTGAAAAACACCGTCAAGACGATGGAGAAGAAATTACAGAGGATAAGGTGAGATCAATGAGTCGTTGTTCTTAAAAAATAATTCTTTCACAATACTAAACTTTATTGCTGTAGAGTTCATCTGAAAAAAAATCAACAAGTAAAATTAGAAATTGGACGAAGAAGGAATTGTCGACGAAACGGACTCTGAGGAGGAAGTTCACATTAAAGTGATTATTTGTTCAGTCTATTCATATTGGACAAAATCTAATTTTTTTCTACAGATTATCTTTTACAAGAGAATCTGTAATAACTTATCATGTTTGACTTTCCATCTCATTATTTAGATAAATTAAGTGGCCAAGAACAAATATCATCGAAACAGCTATCACCATTATCGCCTCAGTCGGAGTTCGAAGATGTCATTGACGATCACGAATCTGACTTGTCTCTTTCAGATGCACCACTTAAATGTCCAGCCACATTTACGGATGAAGAAGTGAAAACAACAGGAACCGCGATTCCGATAATGTCAACGGAAAGGGTGATTATATTTTACATACACTTCTTTACAATGAAAATGGAACATCAACAATCATATAAAGTAAAATAACTTCTGGCATGTTTGCCTATCAGTTTCATTATTTAGATAAAATCAAGTGTCCAAGAGCAAATATCATCACCACTATCGTCACATCCAGAATTCAAAGATCTCGTATCTAATAACAACTGTGAATCGGACTCATTTTCAGATAATGAACCTGTTAACTTCCCCATTATCAACGATGTCACGGAACTGCAATTAGGACCTTTACCCCAAAAAGAGTCCAGGTGGATATTAAATTACATTGATGTTTCTGAAACATGGCATCTATTTAAAGAAAAATCACTAGGACTAGCAAATTATATGTAAAAAGCCATACGCAGCAGATATTGTGTGTTTCCAGCTTTCTATTTTTCATTTACTAGATTACTTCGGAACTAATTGAATACTATATAGGTCCTTATCACACATTCTTTTGTTGAAGCCTAAGCAACACTGTCCATTAATATTGGAGGTTTTTGGAGGAGATTTATTGGAGAGCATGCACAAGGACGTAATAAAGAGATTCACCAAACATGAATCGGAATTTGATAAAGAAACCTTGATAAGACTTACTCGCATTGTCAAGGTATTGCTCATTTTCTACTCTTATTTGTTGTGGAAAAAATTGTACCCATTATTCTTGTTATAGCGCCTGCTACGAGAGGAGATCACTAGAGACAAAGCATTTTCAGAACTGCAAATTCTTGCAGTCGGTCGCTCTTATGGTGAACGCGTAATTCTGAAGGCAATAAGAAACATGTAAGATTGTAACAAATTTTAGGACGAGGGTCCTTTCACGGCATCCAATTCTCACGCATTTTCATTTCTATTTAATAGTATCGAAAGAGTACCGAGAACCACATTAAAAAGCTCCGTTGGGGAAGTGGAGCTATGTACCACCTACGTTGATCCAATTCTCTGTACATTGTTCATGGATCCAGATCGCGGAGATTTTCTGCGATGGTAAGTTTTTTTAACCTGATTATATACATAAAACATTTTCTAATCAATAAGAATACTACAGGCCAAATAAACAGGCATATGAGCCAGAAAGCAAAAAGGCAGGGCAATTATACGATGCTTTGTATGTTATGGTGGAAGTTGGACACGTTAATGTGCCCATGTCGCTTGAACAGGTTCCTGCCTTCCTCGCCAGCCTCATCATATCTAATGCGTTTTGGGATAATTGTATTGCGTCAATCGAAAATAAAGAACCAAGCAGGCGAAGTACTCTTGATTCACCAAGTTTTAAAGAAATTATAGATCATTTATAAGTTGTATTATTATTGTTCAGGATCTTAATACTTATTTCTTTCAAGTATCTGTAAATAATTACAATCTAATAAGTGAAGACAATTATAATAATCCATTATTTTTTTAGCGTTTTCATAGAATCATACTCTCTTATTTTTACATAAAATATCATATAAAAAATGAGTGAACGTCTAATGCAAAATATGAAGAAAATGTTATATTCATAAATTGAAAAATGAAAATATATCGATATATTACGACATTTATTGAAAGTGTAATGCGACAAACCTTTATATGCGGAATCTTAGATAAAAAAAAAACGCGATTATGCATAAATTTTATTTTTATTTTTTTTTAATTATTTAAATTTTAAAATTTAATAACTAATTAGTTGTGCGTGTGGACTTATAATAATTTGGCATTTGGGCTGTTATCTATGCTACGCCCAAAATTACCATAAATTCGTAATCATGCATCATTGCTTATAAGAATTACTATATTTCAAAAAAAAAGTAAATTTTAATTTAAATTCGACATTGATTTATTTGTCAATAATTTCAAGAAATCGACGTCGATATGGGAATATCAAAGTTTATCCTATGATTTCGTTGGCTTTGATGTCAAAGTATCAATTGCTGATGTTGAAATTCCTGATGCATTTAACAATTTAGCAAAAATCCTACATCTTCTCTACATCATCAATGAATCTAATATCGAATATTTTCTTTTGAATTCGTGAATCGTCTTTTCACCATTTTTGTGTTGTTTTAGACGAATCTTCTCACTAAAAATCGAAGTTAAAAAATTTTTTTTATAAAAAGTGAAATAAAAAAATCAGAATATTGACCACCTTTTTTTACATACTTAATTTGACTCGCTTAAGTCCTCAAAAGATTCACGATAGAATTTCTATTTTTTAGCTGAATATTATAAAGGACGTACGAATAATCAAAAAATTCATAATTGGATTGATGGTTGATAATTTATATTCTTTATCATGATCCATTGCAATAAGACATGGGTTACAAACAAGTGTGTCCAAAGGAAGATTTTGAAGCCGTTTTGAAATTTTTTACAATTTGTGGTCGTTCTCTTTTATTTTTTTGTGATAATCGGCATAACTGATAATATATAGCTAGATGCAAAACATATAAACTGTAATTTAAAACCACAATAGCAAAAAACAAAAAAGATCGATTCTTCAGGTTCTATTTAATCGTTACTCAATAACCATTATGTGGAAACCAGAATAAAAATTACCCATCTCCGGTATCGTGCCGTTACCATAATGAATTAATGATCTTGTACTACCATATTAAAAGATTTGTTTGTTAACCATATTAAAAGATAAAAAAACTTTATTTTATATTTTGCCTTTTAATGAAAAGAAATTTGATCTTTAATATTTGACAAAATTCACTTTAAAAAAAATTATTTCTTTTATAAATTTAATTACTAGCTCTCTTAATATTTTTAATAATTCTTGCTCCTTTATTAATATCTCTTGCTCTTTTAATATTTCACAAAACAACACAATTTTGACTTGCTCTTTTAATATTGAAAAAATAAATAAGACGCGTAAATGTTATATCTCGCAGAATTTGTTCAGGGTGCTGGTTGGATTAGTCTAGTCCAGTCTGGTCCGATCCCAAAAAGACCGGTCTTTCAGCTAGAACCGGACTGGACCGGTCTTTTGACCGGTTCTTAAAGTTTTTACAGCTGTTTTCATAAGACCCGGGACAAAATAAATTTTTGAACCCGACCGCCGACCCACCGATCCGGTTCAGTTATTTATTTCAAATCAATCAAATCAGGATCACGTGCCCAGCTAAAAATACCGGATCGGCGGATCGGCGGATCGGGTTCAAAAATTTAGTTTGTCTTATTTATAGCAGGAGGTTGGATCAACAAGATAATGAAATGCAGGTCGCACTAAAAATTATGTCATTATTACCTTTGTTTTCATTGTAAACCCAAATAAAATCTCAAAGTTTAAGAGTAAAAATACTAGATAGAATTTTAAAATCTTATACAACTTTCGAAATATGAAAAAAGATTGTAATGGAAATAAAAATAAAAAAATTGCTGACCATGTAACACAAAATAATTGCATATACAAAATTTTTATTTCTCATACTTTAACAATGACAATGATATTACAAAATACCAAAATATGAAAATTTTGATATTTCAAAATGAAAACTATCATTTTTATATTAGATAAAAATTTTATATAATCGGTCCCGGTCCGGTCCGATCCTCAATAGGTGTCCGGTCCGAGATTACCGAAGACCGTGAAGATCAGTCCCAAAGATTGATACAGGACCGGTCTATGCTGGGACCTAGGTAGTTCCGATTACACGTCACTGAAATTTGTGCCACATCGATAAAACAAAGATTAAATATGTTACGAAATGCTTATACTGATGAAAACTCTCAATCAATTTATTCATTTTTGATATTTTAAAAAATAATCAGAATTCGATAAATAAATTTGTTCCGTACTCTACGGCCTAGTTTTATAGTTTTGTAGTAACAAATATATTTTAAAATTGATCATTTTCTTGATTTATAAGATATTTATATTGATGATGTATTAGTTAAAAGAAATATAAACACGTAAACATGTATTACTTTGTTTGTTTCTTTCCCTTTATTATAAGTAATTTTCTTTTTATTTTATAGAGATAATAAATTTTAATTTGTGGAACATTATTTGTTTGCTGAAAATCCATACACGTATTGGGTTTTGACCATACTATATGGGCTTAAGTAACACCTATCAGAATATTGATGCTCCATTGTTTTTACACCTTTTTGTACAACAAAATCCTTATGGTATAGATGGTATAGATTTTTTTTTAGGGTGAAGATCGTTCCAATTTAATCGTTTGTTTAACGTAACTCGCTCCATCTTTTTTTAAAAAATCTAAGTTTAATAAATACGTAATAATATTGATATACATGTTTAAATACTCCCTTAATTTGTTTATTGTAAACCCTCAAACATAAATTCTATACCAAATATGTGATTATCCTCATGCTTTGAAAATTTGATACTAAGCCTGATTAAAATAATTTGAACGGTATCATAAAGCCCTTATACTAAAAAAGTTTTCTATTTAACCATTTTAACAATTGTTTAAAAAATTTTATAAGGACCTTTTTTTTTTTCCTTCCACCTCACCACGAAAGTTTACTTTAAACTTAAACGAAATGTCAAATTTTTGTAGCCAAAGTGCTTTGATGGTTTGCAAATCGGAATCTATAGTTCGTCGACTAAAAAATGACTATCCAACTCTTTCACAATTATTTACGTATAATCGAGAAGGTACCATAGGATTTCTTAAAGCAAATGGTGGCTTATACGGTTTCTCCTTATCTCATGATTTTAACGTTCCTCATACTGGGGATGACAACTATAAAGCATGGAGTGAGTATCGAGACGCCATTGAACGCTACTTGGATAAGATTTGTGATCGTGTAAAGGCAAATGATCCTTTTAATGGAGGTGGAATGAGATCATTCAGGGAAGAATTAAAACCGGCAAGAAAAGTATTATCTGATGAAATACATAGTAAACATTACATCAAATTTCCCTTATGGCCTTCGGTGAACAAAGAACAAGAAAGCCTTGTAGAATTAGATACCGGTAGTAGTTATGATCATGGAGCATACATTATTTTATGGAGCTGTGTAGGTTGGATAAAAGTAACTGATAGGAGGCCTCAACATAATAAATACATCGCTGAATTTAGTGGAAAACCAGATTTAAAATTGTTGGCGTTGGATAATGATAGGTTAAGGACGTTGGAGGATACTGTTAGAGAAAAAGGTATTGAGGCGGGGAAATCAATGGTAAATAAACCACGATCTTTAGCTTGGGATGAATTGAATTGATAATTGTTAACCTTTAATACAAATACATGTTATTTTATTTTATATCTTAACGTAAAATTTGATGCGTAGAATTTGATGTATTACTATATATTTTTTAAAGTTATTTTTTTAAGATATTTTATGATATACTGTATTAGTCAAAAATGTTTAAATTTAGAACTAATAAATTGTTACAAATACATATATATATGCTTATTTGTTGGTTTACTTATTTAAAAGTGTAAACATTAATGTTATAGACGAAACTAAAATCCAAGGTCGAAAAACATGTATTTATATTGGTAGAAAGGAAGATACCAGATCAGTTTATTATATATTTAGTATAACAATAATTGATGATAAAAAAAAGGTAATTTAATTAACTAAATTTGACACCATATTATAATAATATAGACTGCCGTTTAGCCTAAGACAAACAATCACCTTCGTGTAAAATAAAAAGAGTACTATGAAATATAAAAGAGATTATAATTATAATACTAATACACAAATAGTAATCTATATATTAAGTGGAAGAAGATTTAGGTTGAACTATATCAACGTCTAGATGAGAATCCAAGGGCCATTACGTAAAAAATTTGTAGTCCATAAAGCTCAATAGGTTAAATCGCGGTTTATTAACGGATTGGAATGTTTAAACGTATTGTATGACTGTCTTGTAGTTTAGGGTCGATGAGGGGCGTCTGTGATTTGAGAAGTCTTTATTAGTGATGTGATACTGTAGTTTCCAGGCTCTGAAAAGTTGGTTCCATTGAGTGTGCAGAACTAGGTGGAAATTATAAAAGAAAGGTGCTATGACGTTTAATTTTGGCAATTGATGAGATATGTACTGTACATTGAAGATGGATAAAAGCCCTTTCAGAACTGTCTATCACTAAAATGTTAATGGTATAAGTCTGATAAAGATGATTATAGGGGATTATAACCATTTAAAAATGTTTGAGCGATTAATAGCGTCTTTGGTTAGAATTTCTAATTGTCCCTTCGATGAGTTCTTCTAGTACATTTGTTACAATAAAGGCGGAAAAGTTAGGTTTAGGAAAAGAAGTTAGACAATCAGTATATTACAAAGGATTCAATCTCTAGACTACTATTTGAACAAAGTTGTTATCTCATTGTTATCATGGGACATTACGATCATAGACAAAGGTACGTCTCAAACGATTTGTCAAACATTTAACCTCAAATATTCATATGAGATTCCAAATGAAGTCGGAGGAAGTAGTATCTTCTTTTGCTAAGAGGTCCGCTCTGTCGTTCATCACATCACCCAAATGCGCTTTGACTTTTACTATATACGATATTAACTTGTAGGTCTAGCTGTTGATTATTGTTTGATTGCTGACAAAATTAAGTGGCTATTGACTTTTAAGATCTACGTGGAGTTGTTTTGAAGTATGAAAGGCTTGTAAAGGTGTTAGTACAGGTTTGAGAATCCGTATATATGTTAATGAGCTATTGTGGCAAATCACTAACGCAATACAAATGGTTAAAAGCTTCAGGTTTAGTCGATGTTTTGTAGAAGCCGAAAAGTATATCGGTTCATTTGCGACATTTCATATAACCCAATTATACTGGAAATATTATTTTGTGAAATGGATCGTCTTTATGGACGTCAATTATAGATTTTAGTTAAATAGTTAGTGTGCTTGTTTCAGGATGTTAAGATCAGGAGATGCAAAAAAATGGAAACGATTAATTGGAAATAGAATTATTAAGATGTGATATTGAAGAAGAAGATTGAATTTTGTTGTTTTAAATTAAATATTCATTGTAAGCGATAGTTCAAGGATGAGTAGGTTATTTTCACTCATACGATATTAGATGACCGATGAAGTAAGAATGATGCAATTCACATCAATTGCATCTAGAAACAATAGATTTTCATTGATCGAGGTATCTTGATTGATTTTGAATATCTAGACATCTCGATCAGATAGTTTTTTCAATTATCTTTCCATAAACTATGTCGTTGATAATATGAGACCAGAATTAATAATTGGCAGGAACCAAAGGGTTTGAATAATAGGATTTGGATTTCTATATTTTATCGAAGATTACTAGTATTAAGGGGTAAGTTGGTTGGTAAGGAAAGAAAACCAATACACTTCTTTTTTCCCTTTTTGTGAGAGTTTTTAATTTCTTGCCAAGATAATTAAAAGTTCCATCAGGAATAATAACACGACCAAAATATAAATTAAAATAAAAAACAGTACGAATATCTTACACAAAGACGAAATTACAAAAACAAAAATGATTACTGAACATCAATATAAAAACGCGTCTGTTAACATGTGATATAACTAAATTAATCAATTGGACAGGCATAAAATCACGTGATGCAGATCAATGAAACTTGTAAAACTGAAACTCGGTATTGTTATTTATAATTTGATATTTGGATCGACGTCCAAATGTCTTTCTTTCGGGAGGTGACTTTATTGAATGTTTTGGCAAGTAAAATTTGCCAATATTTTGAGGTTCATTATTTTTATTCCACCGCCCTCTACTAATTTTATAAGTTTTGGATACCAATTGAAAAACTAAAGAAACAGTTTTGCCAACTTTCGTTGAAGATTATATGCAATAAATTTATGAGCAAAAGATCAAAACATCACGCATGATGATTAATGTAATATTATATAGTTATCAGAAAAGAGTGAATAATAATAGCTTATTATCAGCCAATCATTTTACCTGTAATAAGAAAAAATAATATATCATTTTTCATTGGATAACTTTTATATCCGAGAGGCCTCTATGATCGTTGGTGCTCTATTAAAAATATTTTATAATATTTTGTTATTTTCTTTGCTACAATGATAAGATAATCAATTGTGAAGGATGATATTTATTAATTACGAAACTTTTATCATACAAACGACAATCATCGGAGATTTAAAATACTATCATATAACTATAAAATCATGAAAATTATTGTACTTAATAATTTGGTATATACTGTATTGATATAATTAGACAAATATTTTTTTGTTAATTGATGATTCGTCAACTAATGGTCAACAAAGACCAAATATAAATGTTTAAGAGAAACAAGTAAATTCTGTTTCATGGGAAGCCATAGATATCAATATCATCACGGCTCCATGCGCCGTGATGATAATGAGATCGAAGCTAATCCGTAAATAACTGGGTTATACCACTGAGAGTAACGTCCCGCCGTCCCGGTCGTTCCATATATAATTTTAAACCACTGAGGTCTTTTAGTATATCTTTTTAAATTGATATCAACTATAAAAAATATCAATAAGGAAATTGCAGACGACTGGTATAAAAGATATATAATTGATCAATGGACTGACTGATGGATGCATACGAAATTATGCCAACATCGACCATATAAATCTTCAGAATTTCCTTGTTATTCTAAATCAAATAATAATGTTTTATTTATCATATCAACTTAATTTATTATATTTTCATATTATAGAGCCACGATATAATTTTTTGTTTCTGGTTCTTGTGTTATTTTAATAAAGAATTTTTTAAACTTTTCAGAGCCACAACTTCATTTTGATATTCTCAATTATCATTTTCATAATCCCATTCGTGATTCGTCTATAAGTCCATCAATCTAATTTGCTTTATACACTTTGCCAAATCTGCCTTTTACAATATATTTAATATCATGCTTTGTGTAAATATTTACGAGCCGATAGCTGAGTACTTTGAATAAATTTATCGATATAATTATTACCACCAGTCCAATGTTTAAATTTTGCCAGAAATGTATTGCATTGCATGTTTTATTCCATTTTTCACATTTCTCATATGAAATAATTTTCTTAGTACATATTAAAAAAAATCCATATTTAAATTAAAAGTCAAATAATAAAAGTGTAAAAGCGAAATTAGACATACTGTAAATAATAAAAAATTCCGATATATCCGATATTTAAATGGAAGGATTTTCACATGATAATTATTTTTATACACTTGGGAATATGAAGCGCCATACTGTCAAAAACCCAGGGTGATCATCCTGAATGCATCCCTAGTTACCTTTTAATAATTTTATTAAATCATCATTTTTGAAGCTGTTATCATTAATTAATGCATTACCAACTACTTCGAAGAATCCAACTTCAATTTTTAAACCATGTACATTCATATACAGTATATAACACCATCGTGTTTGTCTCTTAATAATTATTCATACTTATTTGCCATCTTTGAGAAGTTTCGTTGCCATTTTCGCGTTCTATTTTCAATTTCACCACCGGTTCATCACAAATAAAGAATTCAGTTTCATAACTGGAAATGAAAACTTTCATCAGAAACTTACGCATCAATCCTTCTACATTTTAAAAGATTGTAAATAAAAAAATGTTGGTTAATTAACTCATCTCTGTAACGAAATCACTTGCAGTTTTGTCTTTCAAAACACCACAATTACGGAGGAATTGGAGTTCTGATATGAGGGGAAAAAAACCAATTAACTGTTAATGGCACGATATTCATGGTAAACCATCACAAAACCTACATTTGTTTATATATATAAGTCATGGTACCAAAACAATTCGTAATTGCATTGGTGCTGGTATTCATTAGATGGTTGCATCATAAAAGCAGTATAAAGTTCATTAAAAAATGTATTTCTGTCCATCTTTTCATCAAGAATTTTGAGGTAGTCATAGACTTGTTTTTCGATGTACATTTGTTTCAAGATCTTCAATTGTTTCTTCTCAAAGATTTTTCAGCCTTATTGTTATTATAGTATATCAAATATGTTATTAATAATTCCCAAATATAAAAATAAAATAAACTAACAGTACCTCATTCATTCTTCAACCTTTGTATTTGTTCGATTGATAAGAGTTTTTGTGTATGTAAATTCAATATCAAAGAGGCAGATAAAATTTGCCAGAATCTGGTCAAATTCATTCTTAGTTCTAGTAAGTAATACAGAAACACATTAACAATATAGTAGAAACTTAGCTTACCTCAACTTTTGGAGTATTGAATATCTTTTCAACGAAACCTGATTTTTGAGCTTCCGTTCATTCGTTGGATTCTATAATAAAATTAAAAAAATTAATTAAGGGTGCTGATAAGGGAATAGTTCCAATTCAAGTGCTCTTCTGTCTTAAAGAAAAGAACGCGAAAAAGATTAATTCTCATCGTTGGTTCTTTAACGCTTTTGGCAATATACTCAATCCAAACGTTTGTGTCCTCCTTGGTACCAAACCTGTCTGGGCGCTCTTCTTCCCCGTACATGTAAAAATACTTAACAATTTACGCCTTAACGCCAAATGCTTTTTCTTTTTCTCTACCCGGTTTTAGGTTATTTATTAGGATCCCTAATTCGGCCGCATAAGTATTATACGATCGTTGTATTGTTCCACTTTTCAGAATAAAAACGGCCCACTCCTTGTCCCTCCATTGCGTTCTCAAAACTCTAAAAAGAAGTATAACATTAAAATATAATACTTTGGTATATAAATAAGTACGTACGAATAAACTCTTACCACGGCGAAGTTTTGAAAAAATATCTTCAGTTATTGATGACAAAGAAAAATTCATTAAAATTATTTAAGGTTAAGAAAAGACTTATTTAACGATTAAATAAAAGATTACCCAGACACTTCTTTACAGACGCTAGAAACTTTGCAGTTATAATATTTAACAATTAAACCTCAAACGTCGGGCGATTTTACAGATAGATGGTTTGCTTTATACGTGAGAAATCTTTTGTCTGTAATCACATGATGAATTGTTACTTTATCAGATTTCACGTGCTATGGTTTATTGCCGTTTTCAGAAATGTTGACATTAGAATGTCGATCATTTCTATAAATCGAACACACCGAACACACACCGAACACAGCAATTAAAATTAAAAAAAAACAAATTTTCCTTTAAAAAAAGCAAAATTAAAACTTTAGTAATATATTTTTAGGTAGTGTGCAAAAAAAAATGTATAAAAATTATATTATTTGCATATATGTATTCACTTGTATTTGCTTGTATTTGCCAATGTTCGGTGTGTTCGTTTGTGTTCGGTGTGTGTTCGGTACAAATTTTCATATTTTCAATTTTATTTATATCTAAAAAGTGACAAAAATAGTTTTTATATAAAGTTATGCATGAATACTTCAAGTTTGCATAATTTTTTGTATGTGTTCACGGTGTGTTCGGTGTGTTCGGTATAAAATGGTCAAAATTTCAGATTGTCAACATTTCTGAAAACGGCAATAATCAATAGTATACACCAGAAGAGTCGAGTCACGATAGCGGCGGTTTGGTTCATAGTTTTTAGAGATTACTTTTGGCTCTAGTTTAGTGTCCTTGTGTCCTTGTAATTTGTACACGTTGAAATAAAAGTAAAAAGAGTTGGAAGAGCAGGTAGACGAACAAGGACTGGGTCTCATTGGTTGATGCTGAATCAATTTTTTACAAATCATAGTATCTCAAAGGAAAATTCGAAATTTCGAAGAAGCCATAAGACGGTTTTGCAGATATAAATCGGGGATAGATTAATCTGATCGAGTCAAAATAGGAAAGATCGAAAGATCGCGGGGTATTATATTATATCGCTTTATGTATAAGTAATATATTATACTATAAATGTCAATCATGTACTAGGAGCAAAAAAATTATTATTATAAAGCGATGATAAAAAAATTTCGTCCTACGTGATACATGCGCAGTTATATCAAAAATTCGTTGTTTCCAGGGAGTTGTTTCATTACCCTGGTTACACGTGTTCACCTCGACTTAGATAATAAATAGTTAATAATTTAATCATAGTTGTAGTTATCGCGTCGCGCAATAATAATTTTTATTTTATTATTTCTTTCATTTCCAAAAGTGATTATGTCTATACGCTCTTGCGGATTTTTATCTCAATACAACATTTAAGGACTGGACGTGCGCAAAAATAGTAGAATATTATCGTGAGAAGTTTGAACGAAAAGAGTTAAATTACGTTCTTGATAAGGTGATCTTCGAGAAATAACTTCAGATTCCAGATTCAGCGTCATGCACAAAAGAAAGACTCAAGAAATCCTTGACCGTTGGAAGGTATAGTAATTCGAGTAAAATCTAGTTATTAGTTACTTTTTGAGCGCAAGCTGGGACTGTTAGTGGCCAGTGATGAACTGCTTGTTCGACACTCATATACTTTTGTAAGATTGATAGATTTTATCTGCTAATATTATTACTTATACCCTTTTATTTGTCAGGTATTGGACCGCAAGTAACAGGACGGAAAATCAGTCTGATACAGGCTTCAAGTTCTTTATTTTTATTATTATTTCTCAAAGTGAACGAAGCCACAGTAGAAATCACACCGATCCTATACTAAGACCGACAGCGACTCTAACAACTGTAAATCAAATCGCGTCCAACCCTTTCAGAGATGAGGCGATGCCATCTTGGCGATAAAATAAGGAAGTACGGGTGTGATTAAAAATCACAGCCGGACCCACGAACCAAGGAAAAAGAAAGAAGAGAAAATAAAAATACTATTATAAAATTACATATGGAGAATATTACTGATGTAAGAAAAGTTATAAATGGAATCTATAGAAGTGTCAAAAGATAATAATAAAATATCTCTGTGTTTCCCAAATGAAGTCCAGCGGATGTAGGCCTGGTCGTTAATCCGGACTTGTGTGTTGTTGTAAGGTGAAGTTGACATTTGAGGCAGAGGTCGCCTATTATGTAAGACATCATTAGTATTGTGATGTGTGAGGTTGTGTTCCTGATTTTTCGTATTGGCACGTTTGCGTGGGTGGAGACGGTAGTAATTCTTTTTTTTCTTTTTTGTAACGCCTTTTAGAAGTTTCCATTGTTTAGGCGTTCCCGCCAAATTAGGGTATTAATGTCTTTCATAGGGCAATGATTGCGGTCAAAATGCCCATGGCTTCCTGGAGCTTTATTGCTATTAAGGGATGGTACAATGTCTATTAAATCTTGTATAGTTAAATCTTATTCTAGTGATGTCCAATCTTCCTCTTTAGTAGACTGTAGAGATGGATTATAATAATAATAGTCTTGCTAGTCTAGAGGTATATCGGTAATGTCTTTGTATATAGTATTATCATCACTTGTAGCGTAAGAAAATGTTTAATAGATTGAGTTTCTATGATATTCGGGTTATTAGTAAATGTTGTTGGTCGTTTATATTAATAAACGGCCTAATATTATACGTCTAGGTTTTCTTTGAAGAATTGAATCTGTCATTTTCGTCTGGTTATGCGTTAAATTTTGATTTCGTTCATTGATGTAATAATTTTCTGTTGTCCAATCATTTTTAGAGTTTATGTATAATAATATGAGTGTGTGATATATTTGATTAATTTTGGTCTTTTGGAGTGAGAAATTTTCATTTTTGATAGAGAGGACTAAGTTGATCTCCGTTTTATTATGATCTATGATTTTGATAATTTCTTTATAGTATGAATTCCACTTTGAGAAGTATTCAGACCAAATTGTGTTTGGGATTTGTTGAATAGCATCTGAAGTGTTTAATTCGGTGATGTTTAATTTGTAACGTATTTTAATGTTGTTTAGTCGAAAAAATTGTATTGTAAGATTAGACGCAGATGATAAAATTGATAACAATATAAAAGAAATAAGAAAAGCACTGAGCGAGTCGTTAAAAACCAAATCTTATACCGATACGATAAAAGACGAATTTGAATTAATAGACGAAGCTTTAGTAACAAACGAATTTAATCTGATTTGGAATAATAGATTAATAACAGGAGGATATAGAGCGTGGCGAAAGAAAATTACAAACGCTATTTGGAAGAACGAAATTTTAAATAGTGATAAACTAGATGATTTATTCGTATATAATTACAAAAAAGAATTTGATTGGATTACAACGTTGGAATTTATTAGTAATAGAATAAACTTTTCTTCAAGACAATGCGGTGATAAAGACACGAAAGATCGTTCGTATAGGATCAAGAATATTTTGAAAGAACTACCTACATACAAAACCTTATATAAAAGAAATACCAATAAAATAGCTTCACCGAAATGTATAAGGTGCGGGAAAAAGGAAGAAGAAGATTGGGATCACGTCTGGATTTGCGACGATAACGAATTCTCGATCGACGATATAATACAAGAATCACCGTATAAATTTGAATTAGAATTAGTAGCTCAAAACAAAGATAAAGATATAGAAATATTAAGAAATTATCTTTGCAATTTTTTGACTATACTTGAAAGTCCTTCAATAATTCTAAGAGGAAAGAGCAGAAAATGGGAATTGATCAGAGGAGTTTTTAACAATAATTTTAACAACATATCAAAAATCAAAGAAGAAAAGACGGTCATAAAAGAGCTTTGGAATTTCATATATGACGAAATAAAGAAAAGAATTCGGATTCCACGATGTGATGAGATCAAAAGATTAGAAGAAAAAGAGGAAATAAAGAAATCCGATCTACGATTAAAGAAGCAGGTATCAGAAGATAATCAGAACGAAATATTAGAAACAGAAAATAGTAAAAACAAAAAAACAAAAGAAAATATAGAAAAAACCAAGAAAAATAATATAAATAACCAAATTAAAATAGTAACTTTAGGAAAATTAACAGGTGCATTAACGGACGGTATTAATATAGATAGAAAATGGGATACGATAGTCAAATTACCATTTTATTAGAATAGGCAAAATTTTACATAATTTTATTTTAACATAGTATAGGATAGTTTACTTTTATGTTCGTAAATTACCGGTAATTCCTTTTACAATTGAGTCTACTTGCCTAGCTGAGTTCAGTATAGCGTGATTTTGGTTTGATTCCGCAAAATTATGAACTGCAAAAACCTGTATTTTTTGCTGAGTATACATATCAAATTTTCGAATACTCAGATAAATATTACATCGTACTATACAGTATAACAAATATTAAAATATCTAAGAATATATCCGAAAATACTGTTCTTGAAATACTTGAAAATTTTTTTAAATTTTTTCATGTAACACATATCAGCACATTAATACTGTAATGTTAGTGGTCAAATTTCGGATGACTTAAATTCAATTATGATGAAGTAAACTCTGCGCAAATCATAAAATAATTAAAATACTATATTATGTTACTATACTATAGAGTTTTGTAGTATTGCATAAAATTAGCATAATTATATAGTATTAGCCAGTAAATTATACTCTGCATCCTCTGTAGACTCAATTGTGAAAGGTTATACTCTAAAAAAAACTACCGTATTTAGTAAAAAATGACCATTGGTATATATATATAT